ACAGTTAATCTCCATTTCACTCTTAAACTTGAGTGTAGGGATCACTGGGGAAATTTGTTAAAAGTGCAGATTTTCAAATTTGAACCCCATGCATTCAGATTAAGTAGATCTGGGGATTGGGCTCTGAGACCTATATTCTTAGTTCTTATCCACAGAGAAACATCACATACATGTGAATTCTTAGCAGTGTCATTTCCAAGGGCAACTTTATCACTAAAGTCTATGGTACTCTAAATACTACTAATAAGACAGAGGTTCGGTTTTAAAACCTTGGCAAGTTTCTTACGTGCCCATAACCAATTTTTAAAATAGTCCAAATTTTTACAATTAACTCTTGATTTTATTTTCTTTGCCAGAATATTTTGGGAAGCTGTGGTTATGTTGGCCATGCACAAAGAAAGGTGTCTTTTTTTCCAGAATGTCTTGAATATCTATCTACTTTGTCTCCTTCTTCACTGCTCTTGTTCAAGATTTCCTCATCTCTCATCTGGACTGTCCCAGATTTCTTCAGACTCTTGTCCTATTCCCTCTTTTCTTTTTTTTTTTTTCCCATCCCCTCTTTTCTTAGGTGCAAATTACTGGTGAGGGTGATGGGGGCTATTGTAGGATGTGGGGTAGAGGGAGTGACAGGGTCACAGGCATCTCAGAAAAGTCATTTTTGACAGGATGGAAGATGATTAGATGGCAATATCAGTCTCCGGGAAGTGATTGAAGTTAAAAAAAAAAAAAGGTAGTATTAGAATGAAATATTAAATTTGGAAAATGGGGAAATTTCCTATTACTTTTGTAATATAGAGTATAGAATATAATACTTGAACATATAGAAGCAATGGAAAGGGTCTTAATTTCCTAGGACATGGTTTCACCTCTTGCTATTGTCACACCTGTGTGTTGTATTCCAGCACACACTTGCAGTAGTGTGTGTTTGCACATACTGTCACCCTTTTCTGGATGCTGCCTCACTTTTAATATTTACTGAATCCCTTTTATGTGCCCTCATTAGGACAAGAAGATACAGTAAACGAGATTAAATTGGTCCCTGTCCTCATAGAGCTTACATTTTAATGGGATTGGGGAATGAGATCCCAAATAAAAACCCACACGATAGTATAATGGTAATTAGGAAAAGTGTTAGGAGAAGTGCAATGAGTGGATAGAAAAGGGAACTAACCTAATCTAAAAGGTCAGAAAGGTTCTGCCTTGAGGAAGTGACTTTTCACCTGAGATTAAGGATTAAGTGGGAATTAACTAGAAAACTGGGGAGTTGGGAAGAGAGTATTTATTTGGGCAACAGGGAAACACCTTGTCCTTAGTGCCAGAGGCAAGGAGGAATGACCAGGAAATTCAAAGGAAGTCTAATGTGATTGGACGTTGGTGAACCAGAGGGAGAGAGGCAGCAACTGTGATATAGGAGATGACAGAGGCCTAAAAATTGACACTGATGTTTTTGTACTTTATCCCACACCAGTGGAAGGTTTTAAGGATAAAGGTGAGTGCGGTTATGTGTTCAGACTAATATTTGAAAATGGTGACTTTGGCTGTTTTGTGGAGAAAGCATTGTGGGGTTCAAGATAGACATCAGTAGACTAAACAGGGTGTGTTATAGACTCATTAAACTATTAGTTCAGGGCAGAGATGATAGTGATCTGGACCCCCAGGGCATTAGGACTGAAGATGGGAGAAGTGAATGGATTGATGAATTATTTCATAGCTTGAATTGATAGGATTTAGTGAGTGAGAGATTAGGTTTGGAGTATGAAAGGGAGATATCAAGGAGGACTCCTAGATTTCTGGATTGAATTGGATGTGGAAAATAGTCATTTCTGTTGAGATTGCAGGGAATGCTAGAGGACCTAGTTTGGAGGGAAATACCAAAGCTGTTTTGAAAGTTCTTTATCTATGGATTCTTGTTCTTTACCTTAGAAATTCCAAAGCCCACAAGATTCTGCTCAAGGTTGTCTTCCTATGAAATCACTTTAAAGGTCTCTCCCCATCCCATCTCCTGTAGGGCAGTAAATTGTGCTCTTGGTAAATTCTTCTCTTAGTACTTAATTCTCTGTTTTATAATTAGGCATTTGCCTGTCTCTCACCAGACTTCTTTGTCAAGAACTTTCAAATAACTATCTTATTTGGTGATTCTAGAATATGGATAAATATTTCTTTGGGTGTTTTCCACTGAACTATATATATTTGAATGTTTCCTTTATCTTAAGTCCATGTTGATTAAGTTATTTTACTGTGGTACTTTTCCCAACTGTTTGTATTCTAATGTGGATTGCGAATGTCTGGGAAGGGCATATGCTGTGCAGTATTTTCCAGTATTATTTATTTGTCTCCCCCCACCCCCACCCCGATCAGCCTTTGTTTTCTGAGCATTTAATGTTACTAGTGTTGAGGGTAAGAGGTAAGGATAGGAGTACTGTGTGGGAAATGCTGATTTGGGTATGTGCCTGTCACAGAGCAAGCATATAACTCTCTGAGTGTAGACTATGTGAAAAGCAAACCTAACAGTTGTGGGAGCACATCCCTGGATGTCTTTGAGAAGGTCATTTTGCCTGTAGTTCCTGCAAATCTATTTCTTTTACCCCCATTGATCAAAACAGACATCAAGTGATGAGAATTTACTGCCTATTGTTTGTTCCTGCCAGGCTAAGAAAGCTAGGTGACTGAGGTGACAAATTTTATTCTGTTTCTTTGTAGCTAATCTGGGAAGAGCTGAACAAAAAATTCTTAGGTCCTTTCATTTATTAACTCCCAACATCAAAATAGAGCCTTTCTTATACCACCTGGGTTGTTCATAAAATAAACAGAGTTATATTAGTAGCTATTTTTTTGTAAGAGAAATAAATGTCCAGTATTTTTGTAAGACTATTTATATTCTGTTTTAGAGAGTTGGCTGTAGTGACGCAGAATCTAGCTTTCAGGGAAATATAGACAGGATAGACTAAATGGGGAAGACACTGTTCTTTTTTTTGAAGAATGTATGAATTTATTTTAGAATTTTGAATTTATTCAAAAGTTCGAGAGCTCAAGAAGTTCATTTTTAGCGTTTAACCTAATGGAAAGTTTCACCAGGAACTCACTGACTCAAACAGGAGATATATTTGTTTTTAAACTTAGATTTTATTTTGTAATATTGGGTGGCATCATTGTGTTACATTTATTAACAGACTAACTGCTGGTATCTTTCTTATAGTCGTGTGAAATGGGTAGATGCCTTTTCTGTATAAACTCTACTTGGCCATAGAGTTAACAATGAAAATAATTTTTTTGAGTGATATAAAATATTGCTTAGGTTAGTAGGGTGGAGATGTCATAACCACATCTACATCTGTACTCCCACATCTTAATTTATGTGTTCTCATTTACGTGTTTCACCTGTTTTTTTTTTTTTAAGTATATGAAATTTATTGTC